TAGTTTCATGTCTTAATGAGTATACTGGGAAACTCAAGGATTGTCTTTTATGTTTTGTTGCTCGGCATTGAGGCCACCCAAGTGTCTAGGGCATTTCACTTGAAAATCTTAAGCATTGTAGTTTTTGGTTTTGACTTGTAAACCGTTTTGGGTTGCTCGGAGTAACCGGTTTTTTGTTTGAGTTATGGTTTGGTTTTCAAAAAGGATCGGGACGTGTCAATTACAATAAAAACGGCATCCAAGGGGTTCTGAACTCACAATCATAAGGAGTAAACAATGAGTTCTCACTGGGCTCATTGCCTTCATATTTCAAGTTTGCATACTGAACATTTTTATATAAATATTTTAGTTTATACGAAATTTTCAAATATTGATATAGTTTATACAATAATTTTATTTAAATTTTTGAGGGGCCTAACTCTGCCCCTGCTCTGCTCGCATGTGCCTTCTTTCCAAACTATATCCCTTCGCCACGTAACTAAATATATATGATTAAATATTTGCACCGCTATATCCCATTCCTCTATTATAAACTACTATATTTATCATATAATCAATTTACATAATACAAATGTCCCGTAAGGTAAGTTCATAACTTAATTCCTTTATCAACTACATTATTCACCATATAATTAATTTGAATCAAACAAAGACTCAATAAGGTAAGCTAACTTCTACGTAATAGTTTAATCAAATGCGATACTACATCAATTTACATTACGAAGACTCCATAAGGTAAGCTAACTTCTACATAATATTTGAATAAAATGCGATGCTTTCCATAACTTGACTTATTATTAAGCTATATGGAACCTCTTTTCTTCCCGCAGAAGAAGCTGGATTAAGATGAGCCGCCCGTGGAAGGTCTACGGTGTAGCTTAATCCTAATCGCTGAATATGGCTTTGCAATATTGACAAAGTACGATACAGAAAAGAAAGAAGGGAAAGGAAAGAAGATGGCTTATGTTTCTCGTCCAAGGAGAGACTTGAAAATGGGCTAAAAAAAGGCAAAGCCCAAAGCGAAATAAAAGCAAATGAAAATAAGAAGGAACGAGGGCTTGAGCTACAAAGCCCAACCGAAAATTATAACAAGAACAACAGCACACTGCTTGTCTTCAACCTTGACCTGTCGAAGCAAAAACAGACTAGAGGCAAAAACATAGTCGAAGAACAGCAACACTTATCAAGAACCATAAGAGCAGTAAAAACAAAGGCAACACATGATTTAATGAGGTTTCCAAACTATTGGTCACTCCTCGTCTTGGAAATAGCGCCTGCTATTTTCCGAGAGACTCTTTTTTTATTAAGGTTTGTAACTGAGAAAAAGAGAGCGGCAGAGGGCTGGTCTTGTAGTTACAAGGTCATCAGCAGTTTAGAGGAAGAGCTTCTTAGCTGTTTAAGGATTTGATAACTGCAATGCAAAGTGTATTCGATCACGGTCGCTATTGAATAGTTTCAATTTCGAGGACGAAATTTTTATAAGTGGGGAGGAAATGTAACATCCCAAATTTCGAGTTAAGGTTTAACATGACATTAATACACGGTTTGATTCAGTGGTTAGAGATTTCGAACCGAACCAAACCCCAAAGGGTCACAGCTGGTCGGTTAGGTAATTAACTCTCAATTGGAGCCGTTATAGTGGTCCATTAATCTCTTCAATTGGGAGCCTTTATAGTTTATAGTGACTACGTTACATCCACGAAGAAGTCCATGGGGTTAGTTTTAATGGTGGAGCCGCATCAAAAGGAAAAGGGAGTTGGCGTTCACGTGAAGGGAATCGAAAAGAAAGAAGCTTGCAATTGCGTTGAAGCTCAGAGAGTGATGAGCAGATATAGAGTGGACGTCGGAGGCGGCTGAACGCTTGGAGACTATGTTCATCGCTAGAGTTGATTAAGATGGAGACGGAGTTATTGGTAGCGACAGCTATTGAGAAAGAAATAGGAGTGTGGCAATGATCCCGCCGTAGGACCTGTGGCCAGGAGATATGCGATAGACTTGTCGAATGCGCCTCAATCCTTAACCGGAAGCTGAACTAAATCGAGGTAATAAATCAGCCCTACCAACTCTAAGAATTCGATGGTGATGGTGATTGCATTAAGGTTCGTAATGGTTGGTTGTTGTGTCAAAAAGGCTCAAGAAGTTGGACGAGAGGGAGAGTTAATTAGCTTACGTACGTAAATTAACCTAGTTGGGCATCAGTTGATTTATCTGGTGGGTTAATCATCTTTTGGTCCTGCTGTAATGGATGGAGGGATTGTTATTTGGAGACCATATATCCTCCCTTCTAACGAGATGCACCAGTGGGTATAAGTGATGGAATTGACATAAGAAGTGAGGTCCCAAGTGAAGATGTGCAATTATAATGGTTGGCATGGAAACAAAGTAGTGCTAATTGGGATTGAAACTAAATGCAATTATAATGGTTTAGGAGTTGTTGGAACTGACGAGAACTTTAACAGGGAGGAGTCTGGATCATCGATGATGGGGTAACAGTTAAATAATGGGAAGATGTCGGGCAATTCAAGTCAATTCAACTCACGTTAATAAGGTGAGTGTAAAGGGGATAAATTCTATGCCTTACGTATTTTTTAAGTATTTGCCTTACGTGTTTAAGAAGTTGTTTTATGTGAAATTGTGTGTTTGCTTATGTTTATGGGTGATGATGTGTGTTCTTTTGATTCATAGTTTGAAGGATATGTTTATGAGCTTTGAGTATTTAATTGAAGCTTTTACATTTCTTTTGACGATTAAGTTAAAGTGATAAGAGCAAGAGAAAGTCATAAGTAAGAATAAGTTAACCTCGCTTAGCTAGCCACTAGCTAGATGGATTCCTACCGGACGGTGATAAGTTCCGCGGTAGTTGATCACTACCGGATGGTGATACGTTCCGCGGTTTCCATTGCTTAGATTTAGGTGTGCTACCGGATGGTGATACGTTTCACGGTAGTCACGCCGTAGTTTGACACCGGATGGTGATTCGTTCTGCGGTGGTCAAGCCCATTTGAGGGGCACCCCATTGTGAGGGTAGTCATGTTTAAGAAGTAAGAAAGTAAGTAAGGCTAGTAGTGGCACTAGCTAAGTCGAGGTAGGGGCCCCAACAATAAGATAAAGGAAGAACTAATACGTTTTTAAGAGTTAAAGTTTAAAAGGCGGAAGTACAAACAACTTCCATAAGTTTAAGTAAGTGTTTCAAGCAAAGTGCTCAAGTATTAAATGTAATAAACGTAAGGGCGTAGACTGACCCCATCTCACTCACCAGTTTGAAGAGGACTAAGAGGAGTTAGAGAGCAGCGAGTTCGAGAGGAGCAGTTTGAGGGCAACCAGCTAGAGGAGGGAAGTACAAGCGTCACTGAGGATGTCTGGTCAAGACTTTCAGGAAGCAGTAGCATTAGAGATTTTATAGTTGTTTCAGTTTATGATTATGAGTATAGGCTGGAGATCATTTTGAGATTTTAAGGGTTGAGTTTGCCCAAGTGTCAAGCTTTGTGTTTAAGTAATGACAGTAGTTTTCGGTATTTATTAAAGTTATTTATGAAATTTTTTTGCTATTTTTCTAAGTATTTTCAGTTCTTATTTTATTTCACGGTTTATTAAGGGTATTTTGGTAAAATAGTACCCGACCGGGTTAGGGTGTTTCAAGTTGGTCACCAAAACTTGACGTTGCCTGCAAAAAGCCGTTTTCGCTCCGCCTGGATGTCATCCATTGTTGGTGGGTGAGGTTGTCGTAGTAGCTCTCCCCTGCCCTGCAACAATTTGGGAACAATACTGAACCGAGCTTGTAATGTACAAAATTTCAAAAGATTAAATCCCCTAAAAGCATATACCAAGAATAAAAAAACACATCCATGTTCACAAACATAAAACATAAGCATATAATCCAACTCGGCCTTGCATTATAATTTATAAGGGTTGTTCTGGTGTAATTGTCTTTGTGGTAGACTAATTCTTGGATAAATAATGGATTTGTTGAAGTGGAAACTACGACTAAAAAGGGACATACAGATTCCAGGGGATTGCCAAACAGGCAAGGTGATGTTGGCGGACGAGGGTTGCGCTAATCTTATTGAAGTGTGTAATTGGGTCACGTTTGTACTTATATTTATTATAGGGACCAGAACTGTAATTGTGCACATAACTCGGTGGTTAGGGTTATGCGCATGGCTTACTATAAAACCCATGCTAATCAGGGGTTATAGTTAATTGAATAAGAAAGAAGAACAACAGCTAACCACCGTGGAGGAACGTCTCTCTGAGAGGCCAAACCACGTTAAATCTCGTGTTCATTTATGTTTCGTGCTTCGTGATCGATTTCCTAACATGGTATCAGAGCCTCGCGAGGATTTTCGTGCTTGAATCTCTTCATGTGACCTTGGGGTTGCTGGGTTTTGACGTACGGGTTTCGTTCTGTTTGACTTGCATATTCGTCTGCTACATGACTTTCTCTTCGGGTTTGCTTCCTTCTATTGCTATATCCAACTGTGGTACTCTTTCTCTGCTCTCTTTGCCTTGTTTTGTCTGTCTTTGGGGATTCTCTTTGGTTGCTGCTATTTTTCTAGTCTTCATCATGGATAGCTTGCGTGATATAGTCTCGGTTCGGTTAAATGGGAAGAATTTCCCACTATGGGAATTCCAATTTCGTGTATTCATTGAGGGTAAACGCCTCTTCTCTTTTCTTGATGGCACAACCAAGAAGCCCTTGGATTCAGCTCCAGACAAGGAACAGGCCGATTGGGCGACTAACAATGCCCAAGTAATTTGTTGGTTGCTGGTTGTCGTGGATTAGGGGTGGGCGTTCGGTCGGTTTGGTTCAAACCGAACCGAACAAGGTTATCCCGAATTTCCAAACTTTCCATCGCCCCGACCGAATTCGAACCGAGCTGTAATTCAGTTCGGTTCGACCGAACCGAATTACAACTCGGTTCGGTTCGGATGCTCAAACCGAAACACCTCTGCTGCCCCCTTTTTGCCTGCTGGTTTTTTTTTTTTTGTGAAAATTTGACATGAGCTGGCTGCTCATTGGAGTTGGAGAATCAGTGCGTCGACATCGGGAGACGGGAGGAGACTCGGCAGCCGGAGGATTGCGAGAGGGGGGCGAGCAGGATCGAGCACGAGCAGTGAGGTTGAGGGGTGTTGACGTCGCCGTGCTCGGGGCTCGGGCAGTGGAGCTGTGGAGGAGGCGTCGGAACTCGGAGGTCGAAATCGGACGTTCCCTCTGCCGGCGCTGCCTTCTCGCGATTTCGTCAGTCAGTGCGGCGCATAGGTTTAGCTCGCAGCAGCCTCGCACCTCGCAGACGAAGACGACTCACGAGACGACGGTGGCGGTGCTGGGCTAGGGCTGGGGTCGGGACGTCGGGTACTGGGCAGTGGGCTGGGCCTGGCGGAGCAGGCCTTCAGTATCGGTCTCGGAGCAGCCCAATCAATTTGTTGGACAGTTGGACTAGGGCGGACGGCGGAGCACTGGAGCAGCCGAGCAGGCCTTCAGTATTGGAGCAGGCAGCCCAACCCAATCCAGCGGCTGGGTTCATCTATTCGGAATTTCGGTCGGTTTTTGGAATTTCGGTTCGGTTCAAATGAACCTGATTTCCGAAATGTCTCCTATTTGCAGCCAAATTTCGAACCTAACAACAAATATTTCGGATTCGGTCGGTTTTTATTCGGTTCGGTAAAACCGAACCTAATGCCCACCCCTATCGTGGATCCATATATTTGTCTGGGTTTGCATTCCTTTTCTATGGCGTATGATATGTGGATTCATTTGTGTACTCTCCACTCCCAACAGAGTGCTTCTCGGCAATTTGAGGTTTCCTCTGGTCTTGCCGCCCTTCAATATGGTGACTCAGATATTCGTACCTATTACCAGGATGCCTTGGACCTATGGATTGAAGAAAGACATGCTGACTGCTGCACTCTCTGAGGGTTATGTCACTCCTGAAATTCTTGCTGAGCGTCAACGTCTAAGGTTGATGCATTTTCTGATGAAGTTATATCCCGATTTTGAATCTATTTGAGCCTCATTGCTGCATCAGAATGTAACTTCCATAGAAGATGCCCTTTCTGAGTTGCTTCGTGAAGAGACTTGTTTGAAGAGTCAAGCTCGGCTTGATCGGACCAGTGGTGCGGAAGCTGTTTTTGCTGTGGGACGTTCGGGCAAGCCTCAATTTCAGCGCCCAGTTCCCCCTCATGTTGAATGTCACTTTTTTTTAGAAAAAGGGCATGTCCAACTTTATTGCAAGAAAATCAATTATTGAAACTACTGCAAGACAGCTGGACACATCGTTCTTGAGTGCCCATCGCTGGCTTGTCGTGGTAAGTCGAGCAATCCACGTTCTACACCAGCGCCCACTCCAGCCTACAGTGTGGTGGCCTCTTCTAGTCCTTCTCCTTATGGCGATCCGCCTGCTTATGGCGTTCAAGTTGCTACTGCCTCCCTCGTCCAGTGGCCTGCTGGCGTGTTAGGCGCAGCTCCTGCTCCTCTCATCACAACAGCGTCTCTCGAGCAGCTAGTGGAAGCTACGTTGCAAAAAGTTCTTTTATCGGCATTGCATACTGTTTTCGCAACCCATGCATCATCAGGTACTTCTTCTACTTGGTTTCTAGACTCCGCAACATTTAATCATATGACTGGTCGTCGTGATAAGTTTATGAATATGAATCTATGTTCTTCATTTGAGTTACAAGTTGCCAATGGAAATCACATTCCTGTTAAGGCCATTGGTACCATTGAACAACCCCATCTTACTCTTCCTCAAGCGTTGTATGTTTCTGACTTGGTTCCCAATCTCGTCTCTGTGGGTCAACTGGCTGATATTGGATGTCGGGTTGTCTTTGATTCTGGGGGATGTGTGGTGCAGGATCGGAGAATAGGGAAGACAATGGGTAATGGAAGAAAGTGTGGTTGCACGTTCATATTGGATCGGCTGGATCGGCAGCTTGGGAAGCTGGACTCGGACGTGCGGACATTAGGGAGGAGTGACTCCAAGTCTCCTATAGCTAGTAGTGTTGAGAGTTCAGTATCGGATGTGAATTTGAATAGTTCAGTATCGGATTTGGATTTGAATATTTATTCTGTTTCCTTGACTGATTGGAATTTGTGGCATTGTCGTTTGGGGCATCTGAATACTGCCTGATTGCATACTATGTTTAAAAATAAATTGTTGCCTGGTGTTTTGAACTCTCATTCGATTCCCTCTGATCCGTGTGTGAGTTGTATTGAGGCGAAGACCATAAAAAACTCCTTTAGCTCGAGTGATACAGTGTACTCAGGTTCTTTCGATTTGGTACATACAGATCTTTGGGGTCCTTCGCATGTCACACCTTGGCTGGGTTATCGCTACTTCGCTCTGTTTATAGATCATGCTACTCGCTACAGTTGGGTATTTTTCTTAAAGTAGAAGTCCGAGTTATGTAGTATTGCTCAGGAATTTGTTCAGATGGTTCGTGCACAATTTGGTAAAACCATCAAGATCATTCATTCAGACCCAAGATGAGAATTTAGCTCTACTCCATTGCTTAACTTCTATAAACAACATGGTATATTCTCTCAACAGTCATGTACCAGGGTATCGCAGCAGAATGGGCTCATGGAACGGAAACATCGGCATGTACTATATCTTACCCTTACTCTTCTGATACATTCTCAGGTACCAACGAGTTTCTGGGTCGAGGCAGTTCATTCAGTTATTTATCTGATCAATTGCCATATCACACCCGTACAGAACCAGATGTCGCCGTATTTCTCTCTGTTTGGAAAGCATCTGAATTATAATTGGTTGAAAGTCTTTTGTTGCACTTGTTATGTTTTGCTACCTAAGAAGGAACGTCACAAGCTGAGTTCTAAGGTCTCTAAGTGCGTTTTCGTGGGATACAGCGATCGGTCAAAAGGATATCTCTGCTACGATGTTGTATCTCGCCGAATGCGACTGTCTTGTCACGTTGTCTTCTTGGAGAATGTTCTTCATTACCGTGGCACTCCTACTTCCACTCCAGTGAATGTTGACTTCCTTAATGCTCTTCCCCTGACTACTATTTTGGAACTTTCATCTTCCTCAAATGCTAATCCAGCGCCTGCTGCCAATGAGACTTTTGGGCCGCATTCCTCTGGTGGAACGTCCACCACTCATGAAGACAACTCGTCCTCATCTTATGAGGGGAGCTCATCGAGTTCTTCCTCCTCTCCATCACCACCTCTGAGTCCCCCTTCCGTTGGTACAGTGCAGGATGAACAGGAGGTGCCTCTTAGACGTTCAAAACGAGCCAACATTGTACAGCCACCACTACGTCACAATGACTTCTTTGCTTTCTCGGTCGAGCCCTTCTCTATTCTAGTTCCTACTTCGTATCTTCAGGCTTGTAAAAGTGAACAATGGAATGCCGCCACACAGGAGGAGACAGACGCACTTGAAGCTCAACATACGTGGGATCTTGTCCCTCGGCCACTTAATCAAGTTGTTGTCGGCTGCCGTTGGCTCTATAATATCAAGCTTTTTCCCGATGGATCTCTTGAATGGTTTAAAACTCGACTAGTAGCCCAATTTTTTCGCCAAGAGTATGAGATTGACTATGATGAGACCTTTTCCCCTGTTGCCAAGATGCAGAAAATTCGTACTCTCCTCGCAGTCGTGGCTTTATGTAACTAGTCCCTGAAACAACTAGACTTCAAAAACGCATTCTTGCACGGTGATTTGAAGGAAACCATCTACATGGAACATCCTCCAGGTTACGCAAAAGGTGATCCGTCTATGGTTTGTCTCTTGAAAAATTCTTTGTATGGCATGAAGCAAGCGCCTCAAGCCTGGTTTGAAAAATTTCATCTCACTATCCTTCAGGCTGGTTTCGTTCAGAGCGCAAATGATCCATTAATGTTTCTTCAGACAACTATACATGGACTCATGGTTCTCCTTATTTATGTCGACAATATGATAGTGACTGGCAGTGATACTAATGGTATTCGTGAGCTTACAGAGTTTCTGCATAGCTCCTTTAAACTTAAGGAGCTCGGTGACCTTTCCTACTTCCTCGGCTTGGAGATTCAGCGTTCGATGCATGGTATCTTTGTCAATCTGCACAAGTACATCTTGGATCTCCTCCAAGAAGATCGTTTTACAGACTGTAAGCCGACATTGACCCCTATGTAGATGCATCTGAAGTTATCTAGTACGAGTGGTGAACAACTGTCTCCTAAAGAAAGTTCGCGATATCGTAGTTTAGTGGATAGTCTCATTTATTTGACCTCTACTAGGCCTGATATAGCCTATGAAGTTCAGATTGTGAGTCAGTTCATGTCTTCTCCGCGATCTCTTCATCTTGATGTTGTTCACCGCATTCTTCGCTACTTGAAGGACACTCCACAGGTTGGGATCTTCTTTCCTTCTTCAGGTACACTGTCTCTTACTGCATATGCCGATGCTAATTATGCAGAATGTCTGGATACACGTCGTTCGACGTCTGGATGGCTGGTGAAGTTGGGTTCTTCTGTTATTTCCTGGCGGTCTAAGAAACAAGATCGTGTGTCTAAGTCATCTACTGAGGCAGAATATCGCTCTATGTCTGAAGTCAGCTCCGAGCTTGTTTGGCTTCACCATTTGTTGGCCGAGCTTGGTGTCACGTGTGAGTCACATATTCGCCTTTATGCTGATAATGTTAGTGCCATTCAGATTGCCACTAATCCAGTTCTGCATGAGCGTACTAAGCATATTGAAGTCCATGTGCACTATATTCGACAACTAGTGACGGATGGGTGGCTTCAGCTGCAGTATATGACCACGGAAGAACAGCTAGCTGATATCCTAACGAAGGATGTTTCTACTAGTCGTCATTGGTTTCTATCACACAAACTGATGTTGCGTCAAGCACCATCAGTTTGAGGGGGGATATTGAAGTATGCAATTGGGTCATGTTTGTACTTATATTTATTGTTGGGACCAGAACTGTGATTGTGCACATAACTCGGTGGTTAGGGTTATGCACATGGCCGACTATAAAACCCATGCTAATTAGGGTTTATAGTTAATTGAATAAGAAAGAAGAACGACAGTTAACCACCATGGAGTAACCTCTCTCTGAGAGACCGAACCACGTTAAATCTCGTGTTGATTTATGTTTCGTGCTTCGTGATCGATTTCCTAACAGATCTAGGCTTCCGTGGCATTGCACGAAAACGTCTCTGAACTGAAAGGACCCTGCTGTATGAGATTATGGCTTCTTCCAAACAGAATCCGCTTCCTTTGACGTCGCCGCAAAATCCGAAACCCAACAGTGAAACGGACAAACAAAGGCGGTGTCTTGATTTATGAAGAGGCCTGAATTTTGTTTTTCTTGAGGTGGATTGGAGAACGCCGGCTGGTATAGACACTTGCGGGAGCTGACATCTTCACGCAGGTAAAAGATGGCGGCAGGTAAGGCAAAATGTCATTTTATGTGAGAGTCGGAATAAACCCTATACATTGTCGTGTTAGCATCCAGATTCTGCAATGACCGTATCACCCCTGCTTGGATTGACGAGAAGGAAGGATGAGGAATACGTGGCAAAACTAATTTAGTGTGAAGCGCATAATATAATGTGTAGATAGTAGATTCATTAATCCTACATGTACACAAATCTAAAAATTGACGAAAAATGCTCGTCAAAGTTGTATTACTTTATCGGTTGCAACTCCAAGTATTGAGAGAGCTTTTTCAGCTTTGGGTTACATCAAGAACAAGTTTTGAAATCGAATAGGGGATCAGTTCGTGAAAGATAGTCTAGTAGGATATATTGAAAGAAATTTGTTGAGCACTCTAGAAAATGAGTATTTACTATTTCATAATTTGTTTTCAAAATATGATCACTTCATTGATTTTTTTTTGTAATTTGTACTAGTCAGATAGTTTCTTTTTAAATATTTTTTTAGTTTTTAATTATTATTTTAATTTAATTTTTGAAACTGACACCCCTATATAAAATTCCTTGGTCTGTCACTGATTATCACTATGATGATATCATAATATGACACTGGTAAGGTGACGAAAACCTTTTTGCTCCAAAAAATATCAAAACGGGTACTATCTTATAGAACACAAAAATATGATTTTTCTACGCAACATTTTTGCGAAATCCGATGTAAAATGAATGAGATATAATTTGTTGAATTTTTGTAGTGATGTTGAAAAGTACTTTAAGAACACATTTCAAATCCGCGCCCACCCCAAATATCCGGTGTTGCACGAAAATCCACTCAGTTGTCTCCCACAATTCCTTATTTTCATTCTCACCACTTTTTGATATAAACTATTTTATGTCTCGTTTACAAATTACTATAGTTAGATACGATTTTATAAAACTATGTATAATAACAGTTTTGTATTGTAAGTTGTAACCAATGTTTGAGAATCCTATGGTATCAACCGGTCGGACCGGACATAACGGACGAGATCCAAATGATAAGTAGTTTTATCGATAAAAAATAGTTGAATCACAATTAAATCACAATTTTGGTACCAAATTCTTGATTACTGATTTTTTCGATATAATTTCCTGTACGATTTTCATAATTCTTGATGGTAACTTAAACGCAATTTTATTAGTGCAGCAATGCTTGACCCACTGAACAGACCGAAATAAGGTCGGTCAGCTCAAGTTCACTTGTATTCCGAGTCACCTGTCACGGCAGCAGCGCGGCCGTCTGTGCAGTTTTGCTTCCGAAATTAAAAACAGGAAAAGCCCAACCCTAGCAAGCAAAAGCAACGGAACTTATCCCCGTCTCCCTCAGCAGAGGGCAGCCCCAAAGTCTCGTAACAGGAAGGATTAAAGTCCACGAAACATTGAAACCTGAAAACCCCGGAAAAACCCTACAGACACAAAGCGTCGATTTTTCTTGTAATCAGAATCTTTTCTTTCTACGTATAGCCAAGGCAGACCAAAGGGCAGGAGCCAGGAAGCCGAAAGCTTTTCTAGGCAGCAAAAATGGAGGTGGAAACAGTAGTCAACAATGTCATCTGCCAATTCACTGACCCAGAAGGGAATTCTCTTGGACCTCCTCTGTACCTGCCACAGAACGCCGGCCCGCCTCAGCTTCAACAAATCGTTAACGAGCTTCTAAAGAATGTAAGCTTTCCATTCTAGTCCTAATATAGTCAAGGCGGGTAGTTCTTCTTTCATGTATCAATGATTTTTTGAAGACTTTATGGAATTTAGAGGTAAAGCTGGAATTTTTATGTGTTTTGTTCAGGAAGAGAAGCTGCCATATGCTTTTTACATATCAAATCAGGAGCTTGTGGTGGCTCTTGAAACTTACTTACAGAAAAACAAAGGTATGAGGGCGGAAAATGGGAAATGAGAGGAGTAAAAGATTCCAGTTTTACTTTCTCCCTGGCTTTATAGTATTATGATTTTGTGGCCTTTTTCTCGGTTGGTTTCCAGTTTCTGTGGAGAAGGTACTGCCCATAGTTTATCAGCCGCAAGCTGTCTTCAGAATCCGTCCAGTTAACCGTTGTTCGGCTACTATTGCTGGTATTGTTATGGCTTCCTTTGCTTTGTCATTGCTTAAATGAACGTGTTTGTCATTGAACTTTTTAGAATGGCACGAATTTGAGAATGTTAACTGCAATCCTTATTATATATGCTCATCCATGTATGCCATCTGCTCATTCAAAACCGAATCTCAGTTTTTGAAAATTTTCATCATTTATGCGGAAAAAGTTCAACGTGGGGAAATTTGTCTCCCCCTCTCAGACATGCTTCAAGTCTGCACAACCTTGATGACAGAATGGCTGTTTTCCTACAGGTCATTCTGAAGCTGTACTTTCAGTTGCCTTCAGTCCGGATGGACGGCATTTGGCTAGTGGTTCTGGGGATACCACTGTTCGCCTATGGGATCTTAACACCCAGACCCCTATGTTTACTTGTACAGGTTCGAATTTTGTCAAGTCGCTTCTTTATTTATTTATGGTAGAAAATCCCTTTCAAGTTACAACATTAACATATAAGCTGGACCATGTATGATCTTTTCGTCTAGGGAGGAACGGTGAGGGGAATAGGAGGTGGCCGACTTGTTGAATATTTCCTTCTTTTCTCCCTTCTTCTAAGATGCTGGGTAGTATATGTTTGACTAATAACACACTGTTTTGGGTTTAGGACACAAGAACTGGGTTCTCTGCATTGCATGGTCGCCTGACGGCAAGCATCTTGTAAGTGGGAGTAAGGCTGGAGAGCTTCAGTGTTGGGATCCTCGAACTGGAAAGCCATCAGGCAATCCACTTTCGGTAAAGTTTTTCATGAAGTTAAATGCCAATGGTGAAGGCTGTATGCCTGGAAACATGCTTCTGCTGTACTAACCTGATGATAGTTTTCCTATGTCAATTATAGAAGCTTCAGTTGCTAAGCGAGTTATTTTAACTGATGGATTAGTTCCTAAGCTATTGCAATGGCTTTTTTTCCCCGTATGCTTATCTATGTTTGGTCGTTTATATGTTAGCGCTATACTAGACCTCTCTTACATTAATCCGTTGCTTTTTTCTTTGTTTTAGGGCCACAAGAAGTGGATTACTGGCATCTCCTGGGAACCATTGCACTTGAACTCTCCTTGCTCTCGGTTTGTTACTGCTAGCAAAGATGGTGATGCACGGATATGGGATACAAAATTGCATAGAAGTGTTATCTGTCTTAGTGGACACAAGCTTGCTGTAACTTGTGTAAAGTGGGGCGGAGATGGGATAATTTATACTGGGTATGTATGTTGGTTCTCTTTGTAAGAAAGGTACATGCTATTGCTTGTCCAAGATGGCCTAATGCTCATTAGAAACTGTCAGTCCTGGCTGCCCTCTGGCGTTCAAGAATTGAATTGATGGGCAGCCCATATGATCATGGAGCTTAGCTCTTCTTTCAGACATTTTCTTAGCGTGTTGACTGAATATTAGCTAGCTGTTTAGAAAGTAAATGTGATTGCTGCAACATAGAACAACATTGCTTGTTAAAGCTACTGGTTCATTTACAAACTTGAATCGGATATTACAATGTAGTTTAGGCTAAGCTTTAATATATAAATCACTGATTTGCATCTTTCACTGGTTCCAGCTCCCAGGACTGTACAATCAAAATGTGGGAAACTACCCAAGGGAAGTTAATTCGTGAGCTGAAGGTAACATTGGATGCCCAGTCAGAGATAGGAATGTCATCACTCTTTGCTTATTACCTCCTTGCAATGTTCAATTTATTTACACTTCTTAGGAGGGAGTGTTATTACGTAATAGTCATCCTTAACACATGAATTGATGGCTTATGCTTTATTTGCTCAGAACTCAATTTAGGACACCATTATCTGAAATCTTCCTGTTCAATAATAGGCAAATGATTAGTTGCAATCTTCCTACCAGAGCTCAATTTTTGTGTTTTGAATTTTCTCTATCTACCCAACTCTTTCTGTAACTTCTCTCGTATGATACTTTTCCAGGGTCATGGCCATTGGGTTAACTCCCTTGCATTGAGTACTGAATATGTGCTTCGCACAGGAGCATATGATCATACTGGGAAAATTTACTCATCGCCTGAGGAAATGAAGAAGGTACCTTATATTCCCTAGTTTGAGTCCCATGTGTCTCACTATCTCTGAGCAAGCATCATCGATGCATGTATGATATTCGACTCCAACTGTCCTCGTCTTAGGATCAGATATATTATTATTTTGTTGTTGTTTCAGAAGTCTCTATTGGTCATTTTTAGCCTGAAATGTTCTTCATGCGAAAATGTTAATTATACCCTTTCTAGGTGCTAACTACTGTTCATATGCTTGTAGGTTGCTTTAGAAAGATACAACAAAATGAAAGGGAACGCCTCTGAAAGGCTTGTCTCAGGTTCTGATGATTTCACCATGTTCCTCTGGGAACCTGCTGTTAGCAAACACCCTAAAACTCGTATGACAGGTCATCAACAGGTACAAATCATCACTTCTTATTATTCTGATTGCAGTTCTTGTCGGTGTTTTTTGAAGGGATGTTATCTGGTAGTGTGCTTTATTTGTGATGGTCTGTCCACCTTGTTAATGGTTTCATACTTTCATGTCCCTCACACCTTTTCCTTTCTTTCCTTATGGCAGTTTCTGCAGCCACGGTTCTATTTTCCTCCTTCAAAACTACTAGTAATAAATAGCATAAACACGACCTTGCGAGGAGGCACTTTCTTGCCCTGGTTGTGTACTTGCTGCCAACCAGGCTGAGGCCTAGTGACTTCATTTAGCCGTCACTTCGGCTTTCACTATGGCATTGTGGGCCATCACATTGTTTTAACTGTTCACCTGAAATCCGCTCTATCTCGTGTCTGCCGATGATAGTGTAGATTGTTTCTAATGAAGTATTTAGCAACTTGTTCTGGTGCTTACCTTGATGTACTTTGCGGCTTCTATATGTTTATATGTTGTTTTATTTTTCACAAGCGTTCTACTATCTCTCATATTAAATGGAGAACATGGTGCATGCTGCAGCTTGTAAATCATGTTTATTTTTCACCTGATGGTCAATGGGTGGCTAGTGCATCTTTCGACAAGTCTGTTAAGTTATGGAACGGCATCACAGGGCAATTTGTTGCGTCTTTTAGAGGTCATGTTGGACCGGTTTATCAGATCAGGTGAGTGAGCCACTTAGGTGTTCTTTTGGCTGTCCCTGTTCTTTGAATCTTGTTTTGTTACTAATTTGACCTTTCTGCAGCTGGTCTGCTGACAGCAGGCTTCTTCTGAGTGGGAGCAAGGACTCGACACTGAAGGTAAATTATGTTAATTATTTCTTTCCAGTGTTGTATCCTATTCTCTGAACATCATGGTTTTCCTCAAAACCTAGATTTGTGGATATCAGTATCATGTTTTGTGTACATGTTTATAGATATGGGATATAAGGACCCGGAAGTTGAAGCAAGATCTTCCAGGCCACGAGGATGAGGTGTGCACGTGCTTGCTCTATTGTTCCATTATGGGTCAGACACTTTTTGATAATAATGTCCACTAATCCCAAGGTTTTCTGATCTTTTGTTGGGAGTTAGGTATTTGCTGTTGATTGGAGTCCAGATGGCGAGAAAGTAGCTTCCGGAGGTAAGGACCGCGTACTGAAATTATGGATGGGCTAGCAACCGGAACACCAAAATAAGCAAAAGCTTGCAACTTGATGTGGTTGAAAGTTGAAGTTAGATAAGTGTTGGTGATCCTGCCTTTCAATGGCTAGCAATTTTGGGATAGGAAGTGCAAGTTATGCCTTCAGCTAATAGGAAATTAGCAAGAAAATCTACGACAGCCACAAGGGGTCAGAACCCTAAACTCACTGATGGTGTGCAGTAAACCAGTAGCGCAGCCATAGCAGTGATTTCACTGGTGTGTGAAATCATGAATGTGGAAGACTGGCTAGTGTCGTTTTTGGAGGTAGTTCACCTTATCTGAATTCCCTCTTGCTCTTGCATCAGGGATGAGCTTGGCAAGATGGCAAAACTTGTTGACCTCTTAATACTTGGATTGTTTTGGTTTGGTCTGTAGATAAACAAGTCGATTCTATATCTGGATTGCACGGTTTTGCCGTTATTTCCTGAAGTAGAATGTATGGCTATTTGATGGTTGTTTAATGAAAAGGCCCGGAAACTGCTCTTATTCCAATGATGGTTGAGATTTGATTACTTACTAGTACATTAGAACCAAATGTTTTTTTGCAAATAGCATGCAAAATAAGTTGCACGTTATTGAGAAAAATATGCATATATCTTTTTTAAGAATAAATACCAATTGAAAAATGGACACTCTAGCTATGGGAAATGGATTCTCGATGTATTGAAGGTTCTTGTAGCCATAATAAAAGCAGAGCCTTAAAATCAGCTGGTGAGGAAGCCTTTCTTGTTTGAGCTCTCTATGGTGTCCTTGAAACTCACATCCTAAAGAATCCAAGCAAGTGAAAGTGGCAAACGGGTTGCGCTGAGTGGGTTGAGTTTGAAATGGGTTAGCGGGGCGCTGGCATGTCCTCGAAAGTTTGACGTGATCTGGATTGTATCTGGGTCATTTCTCAAGTGTAAGGGCTGCCGACAAATAAGCAATCTCAAACCTCATAGAAATCACTTAATTTAGTTAATAGTTAAGAGTAGAAAATGACATAAAATCGTTAGAAACAACATTAACATCCCTCACACATCATCATCCTCACCCTCACCCTCCCTCTCATCCTCTAAGAATCCTTGTCTATTTGCTTGAGGAATGATATCATTATTCTCGGGATCACTTGAAGTATTTTCATCATTAACCATATTTCATTAATCACCATCATCTGGCACAGGTAACTCATTGATTGATGCATTCCCTTCTTAATCGATAAAAGGTCGAGGGTAGTAATGCCGAAGGATTGAGAGATGAACGAAATCTTCCAATGGAATGGAGATTGGATAATTGTGAAGGTGGTGGGAAAAAACTACGAGTTAATTGGGAGGGTGGAAGAAATCGTTGATGGAAGAAGTTGGACGTTGGCTTACAGAAGAGGAAGATACGAGGAAGAGAATGAAAATAAACTGAGGGTCGCCTATCGAGTTAGAGTTGTGTTGTTCATTATGTTGGGTTGGTGGAAGTAAACTTGACTCTGTTCATGGGTAAAACTTGACATGACCGACCTAATTTTGCTCCAATTGACATGAACCTTGAAATCATAGATTTTAAGGATTTTAGAGTTTTAAATCGGGATTTTAATGTTCAAAGATTTTATAGTGAAATCAAGATCGAAACCCATAGGTAAGATCGTAAAATCACGATTTTGACTACATTGCTTACAGTGGAGGAGCTAGGTAGAAACCAAGGGACAAGTAAAACTACGCATTAGGCTTACCCCACATTTTATTTCGAACAATAATGATAAATTCCATGTGATACCAACATGTCTGGATAGGTGGATTTTTAGCATTTGATAAAAGGTATAGTTCACCCTATGAAAAAGTATTTCGAAAAGTGGAGACTCGATACATAATCAACAATCTATAATGAACTAAACATCATTGCACTCGAGACATATTAACATAATCATAGCATCTCACTGACTATCACATCCTTCATAGTCACTACATTATCATCCCAAAATCAAGTGAAATTTATAGGTTATTGATTCAAAGTAAACTGAGCAATTTTTGAATTTTTGATAAAAATTCAAAAATTTAAACGACTAAACATATAACATGTATAGAGCACAAATAAGCAAAGCATTTCAATACACTTCCACCCCAAACTTTAAACTTGACATTTTCCTCAATGGACTAAAACATAGGCGAGCAATGAAAGGATTGAGGCAATACCTCATTTGCTTTTATTTTTTATTTATTGAAGCATAAATATATGATAGGTTAAGAGTAGCTCACCTTCATTGTTTTTAAATAAATTCTAAATAAGAACCAAAATAATAATAATATAGATAGTGGTGAGAGCTTATGCTTCATCTCCTAGTTAAGGAAAAATAAATAAAAAATAATCCCTTCAAATAAGAGAAAAGAAACTTCTACTGGTCACCTCCTCCCGTTACATGCATAGGAAGGATATTGCTGAACCTCTGGTCAAACTCCTGCATCCAATCTCGTTAGCTCTGCAACATCTCGAAGCTCTGCCTCTGCTGCTCTGTCAAAGCTCACTGTTGCGTCTCCATCAATACTCTCCAAGCTCGAGTCTCCTCTATCTCATCTATATGATCATGCTCATAAGCATTCTAGCGCTACTTGTTGCACTGATGGTACTGTAGTAGGTTCTCCTTCTGCATCAGTATACTCTCGTAGATATGTCATGTCTCCCGCATATGCTCCATACTCTTGCTTCGGTGGTGCTGAAGTGGACGAGCTAGCCTACTCTCTTGGTCTATGATATTGTACTCTAATCAAGCGCACGACTGCCTTCCCTGTAGCAATCCAAGTAGAATGAGTGAGGCAGTCTTCCTCAATGAGGTCTACTCCAACAAATGACAACCTTTATACTCCAAAGGGTAGGTTGGTTGTCTATTGCATACCAGAAGCTCACCACACCACAAAACAAATAATGAATACCAGAAAATTGAAAGTTGACTACAATGTTTTGAAGCGGACCAGAAAACTCACAAAACTGACTACAAATATTATGAAGCAGAATAAAAAACCCAGACTAGACCATAAATATGACAAACCCCACATGACACCACAAAACTAATAATGTACACCAAAAAATTCATAAAACATACCAGAAGCTCACCGCACCACAAAACTCATAAATCTGATCGCAAATATCATGAAGTAGACTAGAAAGTTCAAACCAGACCAAAAGCACGATAAACCAAACGAAAAAAACACATAAAATAGACCATAAACTTCTTAAAGTTGCCAATAATGTAAAAGTGAGTGCGATAGATGATTAAGCCCACTAGTAGTCAGATCTTGAAGATAACACTATGTACACACTAACCCAGTTGAGTGGAAAATAACGGACGGTTGTTGAGCCATCGGAGTGCCTTCCCCGTCAAAGAATATGGGAAGAGCTTCAATAGCAATGCCTCCTCGGGGATGCCATTTATCTTTAAGCTTCCTGCTAGTTCAAGAAACCTTTGGACGTGCTCTCGTGGTGATTCATGAGTAAGTCCGTGGAAGTAGGCATTTTGTTGAATCATCGTCACGAGAGAGGGCTTGATCTCAAAGTTGTTGGCGGCCACGGGTGGATGTAAGATGGGATATAGGATATCCTCCGCCCGTGGAGCCATGTAATAGCGCATATTCCTTAGCCCTTTCTCGGCTCCCGCTTCTCCATTTGGGTTTGGAAGCGGATTAGCCCCTCGGTTTTGATTGCCCGCCATCTCAACTTCAACTTCTTCTTTAACTACTTCAATTCCGTGATCAACTTGTTGTCCCCTTTCTTCACTTCTCCTTCTTGCCTCCGCTTGCTCCCTCTCTCGAGCTAGAAGTCGGAGGGTCTGGTTGATGTCCTCGTCCAGTGGAGTCAAAGGCGTCGGATTGCTCCGGGTCATGCACCTCCCTACACACACTCAAAGAGCACAACACGTCTAGCACAAGCAAACACTTCACAACTTAACAAAAACAAAAGCTAGATTAACACCAAACAAACTTTTCACGATAACGGACCCAAGTGCCCTGCAACGGCACCAAAAACTTGACTCGCTGTGACTATCACAATAAAATCTCACCTAAGGTCCAAGTATAAACCTTAGATGGGTGCTATATAGGTCAAGTATGTTTAAATATCGACCCGGGCCGGTCTATGTACCGCTACTTCGACTGTTTGAAACATTATCTAGCGGATTGGTTTTAGTGAAAACAAAGGTCTTAAACCAAATTGCTTTGCAAAGATAAAATGGATTTAACACTAGTTGAGAAAGCTTCACCCAGGTGTTGCTCTCCCTAGCTAACAATTATGACTTGAAGAATCGAACGACCGTGTGTGGTTAGAGGGTCATAAACCGCAGGGAAGTCTAACAAGCAGCCAAAGCTACCCTCTTAGTCTCTAGGTTGAGGAATGGGATACGATCCAAGCCTTTAATGTGACCCTCTCAACCTATCAACTGAGGAATGGTTAGACTTCACCCTCGAATAGGAGTTCGGACGGCCACACACAACCAAACCCTAAGTGCTAATGCGAAATAAGAGGTATGCCCTTTAACTAACCTAGAATAGGAGGGATAGAATGCCCAAGGAAACCCATCTCTAATAGTGCCTCTTAAGTTAAGGAGCGTTCTCTTTAAACTAGCTTAGGACACATTGAATGCCCAAGGAAACCCATCTCAAAATGAGCCTCTTAAGTAAAGGAGGGTTCTCTCTAAACTAGTTTAGGAGACATTGAATGCCAAAGGAAACCCGGCTCGAATCGATCCCCTTTTGAGTGAAGGCGGTTTCCTCTCTAAACTAGCCTAGGAGGCATGAAATGCCCAAGAACACCCATCTCAATATTGAGCCTCTTAACCTAAGAAGGTTTCCTCTCTAAACTAGCTCAGGAGACATGAAATGCCCAAGAACACCCATCTCAAATTGAGCCTCCTAACCTAAGGAGGTCTCCTCTCTAAGCTAGGTTATAATGATAATTAGATTGATAGGCTTTCACACAACACAATCATTTCTGAATATTACCTTCACATTCACATTAAAACACAACCACACACAAATCATTCAATTCATACAAGCATTCACATAATTGTAGTTAGGGTTTACAAAAGAAAAGGGAAAACACAAGAGAGGGAAAGGGAAACCATCAAGAAGATGCAATCCTTGCTCCTTGTGCTGAATAAATCCTCATTTAGGGAAGGAATTCCCAAAACCTTGCTTGGAGATGAAACCCTAGTTTTTCCTCTTATTTGGTACGTCACTTTCTCACTCTAAAATCTGAAAAGGAGAAGTTTCTCACACTAGGTCTCTCCCTTTCTTCTTCCTTTCAGCTTTCCTTTTAAGTTGTGATCGCGCCCAGTTCACGGCCTGAGTTCACGACCGTGAACTCAGTGCTGCGACCAAAATGCACCGCTTCATTTGCTCGGGTTTACGGTCTTAGCGACCGTGAGCAGCCTGGGCGTCAGTAACCTGAAAAGTGAAAACCTCCTCTGTTTCCTCCTCGCTTCATGGGTCATGGCTCCAGTTCACGGTCCTATAAGACTGTGAACTCCAACGTCTGGCCATGAACAGCCGCTGTCTCCACTCTTTGCCCGGTCTTTGCTCCTTTTCTTCCAACTTTCGACTCCGGGTTTGGTTTTACCTGTTAGGATCTGAAATACACTAAAACACAAACAACCTTGCGTAAAACCAACCTTTTTGGAGTTCAATTGCAACAAATTTCAAAGAGAATCGGGGATAAAAAGTGTACAATTAGACCCGAATCACCCTCCGCTCCACAACAACTACCTGATCCTCTTCATCTTCCTGGTGCACCAGCATCTTCTTCTCCTTCACTCGCCAGATCGCTTCCGCCGCCATATTGGACTGGTTGAGTCTCTCCCCGATTTTAGATTTGCGCTCAGCATATGGCGATTCAACCTCGATTTCTAGTCTGCGACTCTTCTCCACAAGACGGTGGGCATTGGAACCCCAACTCCCTATCATTTCTCTATTCTCGGCTAGGGATTTGTCAAGGAGATCATTTGTTTTCCCCATTAGTTTGTTCCTCTGACCTGAATCTGGCTAGGTTTTTCCTTAAATCCAGATCTTTGCAGTCGATAAAATAAGACCCTTCAGCTTTCGAGAATCCCATTTCTTACCTCAAGGAGCGGGCGGTTTCAATCGAACCCACTACCGCTATTGTTCTACTTGCGTTTCTTGTTGCTCCTAGTATTCCAACGAAGTCGCCGCCACCGCAACAGAATAAGAAGACGACGAGCGAGCAACGGGGGTTGGCGAAGAAGGAAGCATCACTGAGAAGGGTAATTGTGGTGTGTTGAATTATCAGGGGTGATTAGGATGTTTGGCGTTGTTCCGGGATTGGATTTTTGGTAGTTCTGCTTCCTGCGCAAAGGTGACGGACGAGGAGAAAGGGTAGGTTTAGGTGTTTATAGAATAATAGGAATAGGGATGGCAGGCCGGGGCCCAAATCCGGGTATCCGCCCGAAGCCCGCCCGATAAGGGCCCATGTGGTTGTGGCTCTCTGGCCCGTAAACGGGTGGCGGGTAACCCGAAACCCGTCAACCATGGTTTTCGGGCGGTGGTGGTTAGCCCAGTATCCGCCCCGCGACCCGCCCGATGGTTTAACCGTGTAAAAAACGACGGCGTTTGGTGGGAGATATATAATCTCTGCTTTCCCTTAGAGAAACCCTAGCAGCCGCCTCATTTCCATTCTTCACCAAACGAACAGAAACCCTAGTTTCCTTGTTTCTCTCTGCCTCCTCTCTGGCGATTAGCGATCAGATCGCTAGATAATCGCGATCTGGCCGATTTTTCGTCATTTCCCCTCATCAAATCCTCCATTCGACCAATTGCATGGCTCAAAGAGCAACCATCCGACGAAGATTTCGTCGGCCGCAGTCCAAAAACGAGTCGTTGCCTCGTTGGAAGTTCAAATCGCTGATTCTTCGAGAAAAGATAAGTTAATTCTGAGTTTCTTATCTTTTCTTTCAAGCATCTTCCCTGATTCCTCGTTCCCCTAACTCTCTACTGAGTACTGACTCTTCTTGTACTGGTATATATAGGGGGGATTCAGAGCGCAGAGGTCGTTTCTCACCACGCCATCTTTTGAGTTCTGAAATCGAGAACAAGAACACCCCAGTCAGGTCAACAGAGAGCAGAGACCGAGGGATTTAGCCGACCGCCCGAGCCTCCAGACAGAGTCCAGTCGTCGAGGGTAAGTTTCTTGATCTCGTCTATACTTTTTATGATTTATGGGTTAGTGGTCTCATAATACAGACATCCATGCATTAAATTCCAGATCTAACTTGCTTTGTGTTCGATTCGTTGTTCACTGACTCTTCTTGTTCACTCTTGTTTGGGCTAGGTTGGTCACTTGGTCACGTTTGGAACTTTGGATCGGGTTTACTGGTTTAGAGAACTGAAGCAGAACAGAGTCAGTGAGCAGTGAGGAGCAGTCTACTGTCATTGGGTACTCGACAGTCCACATAAAACTCCAATCCGAGAAGGTAATCCCAGTCCTCTCCTAAGCCTCAACTCACTGTGTTTGACTGTTTGTTCATAATGCTGCAACTTGTTGTGACAATCCGTGGATTCATAATGCTAATAAGTAAAATTAATTAAACTGTAAGCGTGATTTTGCTGCTAAAGATGTTTGTTTGCAAGTTTAGTTTTGTCATTGTGAATGTAACTAAGTTAATAACTATTAACTAAGGCTTAATGTTCAGATGGAATGTAACTAAGTTAATAACTATTAAGTATTAACTAAGGCTTAATATATATTATGTTCAGATGGAAGGTGCTCCTACTGCTATAAATGTTGACATTGCTCCCAATGTCAATGTCCCTGAAAATGGTGTCCAAGTCCAACCTCAACCTGAACAACCTGGTAATGTTGAGGAGCTTGAAGCTCAACGTAAGTTAACTTCTGATGTGTGGCCTCACTTTAACCGAGTTAGGGTTAATGGGGTTATGAAGGCTAGGTGTAAGTACTGTCGTAAATCCCTTGGTGGGGAAACAAGTAATGGAACTTCACACCTAAGAAGCCATATCAAAACATGTATCCAAAAGAGGATACATGATGGTTCTCAAAAAATACTTGGCCCTAACTATAAACCCGCTGGAAATCCTCCACTCTCTGCTTCTCAATACAATTATGAGGTTTCTAGGAAGGAACTTTGTTCAATGATTCTGGTCCATGAGTACCCCCTTAGCCTTGTTGATCATGTGGGTTTCAAACGTTTTTGCTGTTCTCTTCAACCTCAGTTCGCTGTAGAAACACTGTCAAAAAGGACAATTTGAGTTTGTATGGTGTTGAAAGGGGTAAATATCAGACCATTATTGATGGTAACCTGGGGAGGGTTTCAATTACAACTGATTTGTGGACTGCCAGAAATCAGAAAAGGGGTTATATGGCAGTAACTGGTCACTTCATTGATAACTCTTGGAAGCTCCGTAACATAATGATGAGATTTATGTATGTTCCAGCCCCTCACACTAGTGAAAGGCTTGCTGATAGGTTGTTTGATTGTCTTTTGGATTGGAACATTGACGGTAAGTTGTCCTCAATCACATTGGACAACTGTACCACCAATGATTCCATGATTTTCCACATGAGAACTAAGCTTCTGAGCAGTGACTTGTTGCTTGATGGTAAATTGGTTCATATGAGGTGTTCTGCTCATATTCTGAATTTGATTGTAAGGGATGGTTTGGATGCAATCAAAGATGCTATAAATTTGATTAGGGAGAGTGTAGTTTACTGGAATTCTACACCTAAGAGGGTTCAAACCTTCTTCGAAGTTGCTAAGCAACTTAAACTATCTGTTGAGAAAAAAATTAGTCCTTGATTGTCCAACTAGGTGGAATTCCACCTATCATATGCTCTCTATTGCTATTCCCTACAAGGATGTTTTCTTTCGTTTGAGTTTGAGAGACAATCATTACACATCAGTTCCTTCTAGTGAACAATGGGAATTTGCTTCTACTGTGATTGGGAAGCTGGAAATCTTTTCTGAGATTACTGAGTTGTTCTCTGGTTCCAAATATCCGACTGCCAATCTGTTCTTCTCTAATCCTGTGATTTTTGGAATGGCTAGTCAAATGTCACTGAAGTTTGATAAGTACTGGGATGATATCCATCTTGTGCTTGCTGTATCGGTTGTTTTGGATCCTAGATATAAACTCCATGTGATTGAATACTATGCTGGAAAGTTTGGGAATACAGAAACTGGTTTGGTTGCTGAGAATATCAAGCAAATGATATGTGGTTTGATTCGTGATTATCAAACCAAAGCTGAGAACAAATCTGGTTCTGAAACTGGAACTTCTTCTTCTGGTTCTGGATCTGCCTCTGCCACTGAACTTGATTTTGAACTCTTTGTAAGTCAAAGGAAAAAGAGTAAGACTTCCTTGATTACAATTGAGTTGGATATGTATCTTGCTGAGGATATCATTCCTCGCACATCAGAGTTTGATATGCTCTTGTGGTGGAAATTGAATGGTTTGAAGTATCCGACCTTGCAATCAATTGCAAGGGACTTTCTGGCAATCCCTATTTACTTCAGTGCCTTCTGAGAGTGCATTTAGTTCTGGTGGGAGGTTGTTAGACCCTCACCGGAGCAGGCTGCATTATTCGACTGTGGAGGCAATGATGTGTACTAGGAGTTGGATAATGGAGGACATGCAACGAGGTAAAATGCAACTAAATCTCTCAAGTTTATTGGTTTACGTTTTAAGAATAGTATGAACTCATTCAACTGGTTCTCTGCAGATTCGGAGGCTGTTGTGGAGGCATTGGATGGACTCTTCTCAACAATGACACTCGAAGATACAACTGTGGAAGAGGCAGAACCTGGTGGTAAGATCAATAATTCATTTTCCATAATGTGTTCTAATTTCTATTACTTCATTGAGGAATACTTACATTTGCATTGTTTCGCTTTTTCAGGTCCAGAACTTACCTTAATGAGATCACCATTTGCCCATGAAGACTGATTGGTAATCTGCTGTGTGACCAAGGTAAATGTCTTCTGTATTTGTTGTCGTTGCTGCATTATTCATTTAGTCTTTACTAACTTAATCATTCCTCTTGTGTGTACTTTATTCTGTTTCAATTGATGATTGCTGGTCTGCTGGTTTACATCGATTGGAATGAGGGTCAGGGGTGGTCGGGTGGATGATTTCTCAATGATTCAATGTTGCTGGAACCTAGATGGAATGTTGGTGCGTTGTTGTTGCTTGAACCTATTTCAATCTACTGTTTTTGGATAAGAATTAGACATTTAGAATTTTGGGAATGTCCTTCTTTTTGGTTGTTTGGTTCATTTGATTTGATCATTTCTATCACAAACACGAAACATATGTTGTTTTTGGTTGTTGTTGCTGAGCTGCTTGGCAAGCTTTCAGTTTATTTGTTTCAAGTCTTTTTAACAGACCAGTCAGTATGAATAAAGTGTCCAGTTTCCAGAATTTTTTCGTCATTTTCATCTTTATATACATGGTTTGGTAGCGGGTATTATAGACCCGCGGGCACCCGATTAACCATTGGGGACGGAGATGGTTATCCAACCAGGCCCGCAAGTCCGTTTGGGCCGGGGACGGGGATACCCGAGGCCCATGGTGGGTGGGCTACGGATCCAGGGTACCCGGCCCCGATCCGCCCCATTGCCACCCCTAAATAGGAAATTAAGTTTTATTTTTATTTTTTAATAGTTGTAAAAATGAGGTGGAAATTGTAAATGTTTGAATTTTATTAGTTAATATTTTTTAATGGCTACATCACTCATTTTACGGTCAACTATAAGAGTTGACTGCCACATAAGCAAAAATTAACAGAGACTAACGGAGAGTGACCAAACTTGAACTATTGAATTAATCTTAGTGATCACAAATGAAATTAATTTGCAGTGACCAAACTAGAACGTTTTTAGTAAACACAATGACCAATCTTGCAATTTACTCCAAAACAAAGAAATCCCTAAATCCTAAAAGCCTCGCTCATTCCACAAATACCAACTCTAAATTGTGGAATCTACCAGGAGCACAGATATCTACTGGATGCATGCACCTTTCGAGTCTGCATTCTTGATTATCCATGGATGATCCATAAGCTTCTTAAGAGAGAGACGCTTAGCAGAATCCTTCACAAGAAGCTGCAATGCCATTTACAGGATTCCATTACCTTCATCAATACATGCTAATGCTCAAAATATGAAGTTTGAATGTATAGAAACTCACTCTGCTAATTAAGTCTTTCGCTTCCTTCGAGACTGGAGGATTAGGCGGGAAGCTAAGATCAACCTTCACGATCCTGGAATTTCAGGGTTCACAAGTCAATAAACAACTGTCTAATGCAGTTAGAACAACAGAAGGTTAAAACCCCTTTTTTTTTAACCTTTTGAACGTATCATGCTGCCTCGCAGCTTCGAAGGGAGGAGCACCGTAGAGGAACTCATAGCAAAGTACACCTAGCGTCCAGTTATCAACTGTATAATCGTGAGCCTTGTTTTCGACCAGCTCTGGAGCTAGATAATCCAAAGTTCCACACATGGTATGCCTCTTGCTTCTCGATTGAACCGACCACCCAAAATCCGCAATCTTCAAACGACCCTGTAACAATGGTGGACAATTAGTAAATTGACGACTATCCATAAACTGTTCGCCATAGGAGAACTACCGTGCCATTAGGAACCTTAAGGCACCACAAAGAAACTACAGAATTTTGTACTCTTATGAAAGAAATCAACCTTAGAAACGGAAACAAACTGCACAACGAAGCTCAAACATCCCGCTAGAAATATAGACTACAAGCTGCAGCTCACTTTGTAAAGAACGACTGCCTAGTTTCTTCTGGTATGCAAAAATCACGTCATTCAAACTCTGAATCAACTTTTGGCAGTTGCAACAACGAAAACCCAATTGGAATTAGCACAATTTACGGCTGAACTTTTAGCAGAAAGAGCTCAATTTGGAAAAAAAAATCCCAAATGCTGATTCCTTCTAGAAAGCGAAATCCAGACATACATTAAATTTTGTACCTCATGATCCAGCAAGAGATTCTCCGGCTTAATGTCTCTGTGAATCACATCCTGTGAATGGCAATAAGCCAAGGCGTTCGCGAGACTGGCAATATACTGAAATGCAATAACAATGGCCGAGGCAGAAAGCTTAGAAACCCTAACGAGCTCCGAGTACAAAAAACACAGCTAGATAAAGAAAACTGAAATTGGATTGTGCTGGATCACCACCGTTGCAGATTCTCTCTCCGTCAAGTAGCCGCGCTCCCTCAGCACGCCATAGAGCTCACCTCCATGAGCGTACTCGAGTATAAGGAAAATTCGGTCTTCGTCGTCGAACCAGCCATAGAGGCGTAGAACGTTGGGATGTTTGAGGGTGGACTGAATCTCCATCTCTCTCCGTAACTGGTGATGGATACGGTACTTGTCAATTTGTTCCTTGAAAAGCACCTTCAAAGCCACAATGTACTTGCTCTAGAAATTCAACCGAGTAAATCTCTACTGTAAGTAATTACTCTCCATGGAAATTTTCTACAGAAACATTCGCGAGAAAGTCTAATCAAAAGAAGACGAGTGAATTGAGTTTACCTTGACTTCTCGAGCGACATAGACTCTGCCGAATTTTCCTCTTCCCAGAGGTCTCCCGATTTCGAAGTTCTTCAACGACCACTGCCCGAATGCGGCGGCATTTTTCTCCGACTGATTACGAGCTTCATCATTTGCCGACGAAGACGCCTTCGGTTGATTGTGAGTTTGACCGATCATCTCTGGCTTCCGTCGCCGGAACCAAAATGTCAGTTGGGAAGAGAAGGGATGTTGACAATAACCGTTTTGAAATTGGAATTTTGAAAATCACACTCGCCCCTCTTTTCACTTACGAGCATCCAACCCACGTCAAACTTTTGTTGTATCGTAAATAAATATTTTCGTATGGCCTAAACTTTGACTAAAATAAACATCCTGACCAATTTTTTCGATTTATAACATCCTGGCCCGAACTATACACCAAAATAACAATTTGGCCAAACCCGATGTTTGACCGTTAACTTGGACGGTCAAACGAGTTGACTAACGGTCAACGCGCCACGGTACTGCCAAGTCAGAAGATCTGATAAATATTTAAATTTTTTTCGTTTTTTATTTTTGGTTTAACTAAGGTATTAGATGATTTTTTTTAATTTATAATAATTTAAAATTAGGGAATGTGTGGAAATTGTGAATTATTTTGAATATTTTATGCTGACTTGGCAGTGACATGGCGCGTTGACTAACGATCAACGCGTTTGACCGCCAAGTTAACGGTCAAAAGTCGGATCTGGCCAAATTGTTTATTTTGGTGTATAGTTCGGGCCAGGATGTTATTGATCGAAAAGATTAGTCAAGATGTTTACTTTGGTCAAAGTTCAGACCATACGAAAATATTAACCCTCTTTTTAAATATAAAACATACATAGAGTGACACTCCGAATATCGGAGGACTTTTCTATCATTATTACCAAACCCACTAAGTCTATCATATTTATTTTATGATGCTTGATACTACAATTTTTATAGCAGAGTTTCATGTAGTTTTCTCAATTCTAAAATTATTACTCCCTCCTTAATTTTTGCTAAAGGTAAATTGGTAATTGACCAACATGGAAGAAACTAATTCTATTACTACGGGTTGTGTCCTTGCATTTTTCATTTATATTTAAATTTACTTATTTAGTACCTTCTTTATCTTTGTTCTTATCTCTTTCTAACTTCCTCTTAAATTTCCTCTATGGTAGAGTAGTTTGCGCCCCTTTCACTTCACAGTACAAGGCCGCCTTTGGAAATCAATCTTCTGCTATCTCTTCGCACTACGATTTTGTTGTTTGGGATTTAAACTGGGTAAGTAGAAGATTTCAACTGCGATATCAATTCATGGCGAATAGAATGAAGTTCAATAAATGGAGTTGCAGATGGAGGATTGGAAATTGTATTTTTGGTTGAAACATACACCTCTTGAGATTGAAGAGTGGATAAAATTTTGATTGTAAAATGGAGAGTGGTGGCTATTGGATCTTTAGATTTATGATTTTTGTACCTATCGCAACCTATTTCTATCTTAAACCGAGGAATCATTAATTGATCTACTGAAGTAGTTCGGTTGATTCTTTATTCAACCTACTAGAATTGATAAAGAAGGAGTATCTTATTTTGTTCCTTATGACTTTGATCGAGTCTATTAGTAATTGGAGGTAACCCTAATGTTGGCGTTTGCTCTCAAGTTTTGATGGTCCCCTCTTAGTTAAGTTGTTAGAATATAGTTGACTTGAATCAACAACTCTCCATTTCTTTGTGATTAGTGGCATGCTGTTCCTAAAAGGAGAGCATTGAACATTTATGTAGGATTGCGCGGTTTAAGATTTAGTTTCAAACTATCTATGTTTTGTGTGGGAATTTCAGTGAGCTTTTATACTCTATCTTTATTTACAATCAACTAACCGATAGTATTTTACCGGAGAATTAATTCTCATTATGAAAATGGGATCAATTAGACATTTTTTTATATTTTATATTATTAAATGATGATAATATTTGTCCAAATGTTCGACCATATATTCTTTCTTTATGTACATCTCGATCGAAAGATTATCAATAAAATTAAACGGGTTGATAGACTTAAACGTAACATAATAATATAAATAATCAAATATGAATATTCCGACCAACGGGCCGGGTTATAAGCTAGTAATATAATAGAAGGAAGGAAAAAACCCTTCTCCCATTTCAAATTTTCTTCTCCACGAGCGTTTGTAGTAAGGTTACAATAGGCAGTGCCAATTTTTTTCTCTTTCCTCAATAAAACGGACCAACTTACCGTATATCCAATGTAGTAAAAAACGCGTTTCTACGTAGAAGCGTTTTGGTGATCCATAAGCGTAAAACCATATGTTTTTAAGTTTTAATGCGTAGTTATAAACTACATTAATTATAAAAGTGGAGATTATGCGTAAGCTTTTGGGTGACCTAGAAGCGTAAAACAGTAAGTTTTTAAGCTTTAAATCGCAATTTTGACTACATTGTGTATATTACTGCCCTGTAGGAATGGCAATGGGGCAGGTCCGGGGCGGGTTTCTTGGTACCCAGACCCGCTCCATGGCAGGTCGGGTTCAGGTCGGGTAATTTATCACGGGTCACGGGTCGGGGCAGGTCGACCCAATGGGTAAGCAATTTATATGAAAAATATTAGAAATGTTCATTATTTTTATTATAAGACCATGAAAACAAACAATATTATGATAAATATAGTTAAATTATTGGAGAAATTGAGGTTTTCACTAATTTACAACTTTATTATAGATAAAATTTGATGTAATAAAAGGAAAATCCTAAGTAATTTGACTAAAATTACGTGTAATTTAGGCAAGAACGGGTCGAGAATGGGGCGGGTCAGGGAAGGTCGGGTCGATGAGAGTACCCATGCCCGCCCCGCCTACGGGGCGGGTCGTACCCGCCCCAAAACAGGTCAAACAGGTCGGGTAAAACAGGTCAGGTCGAAATTGCCATCCCTACTGCCCTGAACCACCGCCTTGCAAAGCAATACAGGCCAAATTAGCGCCTCCTTTATTGTTTTTGTTCAGTTGCCCTATTCAATTGCTGTGCTTCAATCGCTGACTGAGCACCCCACCCTAGTTCCCTGGCCGTCGCGGGGATTTTACCCTCGCGTTGTGGCCCAAAAATCCATTCCTTTTATCTTCCCAGCTATCTTCGTTATTACCACCGTCATGGTCACAACTATTTTATTTTAATTCAGCTAGTAAAAATCTAAACATCTAATCTAACTAGCTAATGAACTTTAATGAAATACTTACCTCGTTTTGCCAAACTGAGTCGGCACGATGTTGACCATGTGCCCAAAGAAGTACCGAATAGACTGGAACTAAAAAAAAAAAAATATATTAAAAACATAATTAAAAAAAATTCGCCGCCACCACCACCACCGCTATTGTCGCGTGCTTGCCGTCCTCTTCTTCCACGGCCCCTTTCCCGGCTCCGGCTTCCTCTTCGCCGAAGTCGGACATCCTTCCACCGATAAAACATATCTAGTCTGGAGCGGTTCCGAGCGAGGTAAGAGAGGTTCCGCGTGAGAGTGAGGTTAGGAGGAGGAAGTTTCAAGCGGACCCGTGTGAGCAAGGTGGAAGCAGGGAAGGGGGAATCGAAAAAAGGGGATTTGAGTCTTTGTTGGGAGGGGTTGGGGAAGACGAAAACGAAAAAGATAGGATTAGCGAATTCGCTTAAAACTGGCGCGTGTCTTCCCTTTACAGCGCATTTGCTTGAGTCTGGGGCGGGCCCGCATGTATTGGGGCTATTTTCGTAGCTCACTCGAATTCGTCTTCTAATGCCTTCAAAACACAATATTTGTGTAAATAGTTTTGATAAATTTTTAAAAATAAATATTTTGAAAATTAACCCCCACTAGTTTCAACGAGTTACAATCTTATTGGTAAATAGATAATTCAGCATGAGCAAATCCGAACAAAATTAGAGCTTGTCAGTTTGTTCTTTTCAAAATAATATTTGTTTAAATATAAATATTTATTTTTTCGTTGAATCAACTTCTTTATTATTAAAGAAAAGGGACCAATACAACGAGGAGAGTCATGAAGACTCCAAAAGTAAAACAAAAACAAGACTGTTACCTCTTCTAACTCTCTCCACTCATATAGCCCACTTACTTACAGAAAAGAAAATCAAACTAAGAATATAAGTATAAAAAAGACTAGATATACCCCAACCCTTCCAATTCAGCCCTGGCTCTGTGTGATTAGTAACTATGAAATTTAATTCCTCCCTCAGCAGTGCAGCTAGCTTCGCAGGAGGTTTGCATACCGATCCATGAACTACAACACATCTTTCCTTCCACACAAAAGACACAATAAAACACCAGATCATAGCATGCCAATGCCCCAGCTTTGAGTCCCTGCTTACTATAGTCATCATACCAGTCAACATTTCATCCCAATTACCATATTGAAATAGAGTGGATCGGAAAGCAGAGGAAACCTGTTGTATATACAAGCACTGCAAAAAAAAAAAATGCTCTCTTGATTCTGCAGCCCCTCCACATAACGAGCAAGAAGCATCAGTAATCTTCCCCCATCTCAACAATTTGTCACGAGTAGTAATAGAATTTCTAATTATAAGCCATGTCAAGAAACTGTACCTCAATGGACAGGGCTTACACCACACCAACTTATACCATGGTACCTCAACCTCCCTGTTTCTTATTGTCTCCCAAACCTGACGCACTGAGTATTTCTTCATCAACTTTGTCCCCCAGTAAATATCATTATTGCGTTTGTGCAACCAGCTTTGAATCAAAGATCTTAACTTCAGCAATCTTCTCCACGTCCAGGAACTACTATAGGAAACCTTCATTGTCCATAGATCCCCCTGCCTACATTTATATGCATGCATCCAAGCTACCCATAGGGTTCCAGAATTCAACAGAAATAGCCAAAGTAGTCTAATAGTGCAAGCCTGATTCCAACTCACTAAATCTTTTACTCCCAATCCCCCCTCTTTTTTAGGAAGAGCAATGAACTTCCAAGCTACTTTAGCTCTGCCCTCATCAATCCCATGCCAAAGGAATTGTGAACATACCTGCTGGATTCGTTTGAAAACTTGTTTAGGCAGTACAAATAATTGCATCCAGTAATTAACAATACCTAGCAACACAGTATTAAGCAATTGCAGTCTACCCGCATATGTTAACTTCTTTGCCCTCCAGGATTTCATCTTCTTTGTAAGCTTATCCACTAAGGTATCAATTTCTTTTGAGGATAGTTTGCCAGTTATCAATGGTAATCCCAGATACCTAACAGGGAGCTGTCCCTCCTGGAAACCAGAAAGATTCAATGCATTCCTTTTGTAAATCACTGATTCCCCACCAAAATAAATCTCACACTTTGCTGGATTGCT